GTATTTGAATTCTGAAAAATGTCACGTAGTGGGGTCTTTATGGGGAAAATGCGTTTTTAATTGTATTCAGCTTCTATTCAGGATAACTCATTGTTATTCTGAATTTGTTATTTCATTCTACTGAAAACTGTATTTATTTTTATTGGAGTAAATTAAGTGTTAAAAAGCACCCTGTTTTTTTTGTAAATGTCTTTTGGGAATTTTGCAAAATAAAGTACTCAAGAAATTTTGAAGTTCAGTGATCAGACTAGCTGGATGTTAGCTAAACTAATTTTCAGTACAGCCCATTGATCTTTTTCTTCTGTTTCTGACAGGTAATGTGTGTGTTTGATGTTTTCATCTTTTACTGATTATGAAAGTAAGATATGTTCAACATAGAAAGTTTAAAAACTATAAATAATCTGAAATTCCATTATTTAGCTAATTATTAACAGTACAAAATTAATGCATGTTTATTTTTCAAAAGATTGAATAAAACAAGTATTTGAAAAATTATATCCTTTACTCCACACCCTTCTTATTTTCCTCTCAGTGGTAACCACTGTAGACAAACTGGTGCATGTATTTCCAGATATTTTCTTGGACCTACAGATTATATAATGTTCATATTTGCTTAAAAAATAGGCATGATTATTTTATAATACAATCTGAAACTTGATATTTTAAAACTTTTTATTGAGGTAAAATATACATATAGGATGTTAAAACCTATACATGCTTATGTTACTCTACAAGAAGTTATGTCAAAGAAATAATCAATCTTCCCATGTTTTCTTCCGTCTGCTACTTCTATAGCTTTTCTTCTTCCTTCCTAATTACAACCCTTTAGTAGAATTCGTGCCTCATATTGAAAATTACCGAGTATCATAATTCTTCCAAGTGGTAAAGATAACCCCAAGACAAATGCTGGGCATAGAAGCCACAGGGCATAAATCTGCAAAGAAGTAAAAAGCTAACCTTTTCAAAGAATATTGCTTTTCTCTCACTTACCAACTTTACATTTCCCTGTATGGCCCGGGA